TATCGATCCCCCCCCCCCCCCCCCCTCTCCCCCTCAAAAGCATTAATATTTCTGAATCTGCAGAATATACTAAAGAATAGTAAAGATGCTGAATACATTGGAATGTTCTGATTACCTTAGTTCTGAAACTCTGAGTACGATGGATACGCTGAATTTGCTATACTTCCGAGTTTACGTCTACAAACATCATACGCCAGTATACATGCTGCAGAACCATTTCCAGCTGTGGAAAGAGAGCGGAAGTGAATGGTTGTACTTCCTTGCTTGCTTGTGCTGTGAATCGAAATCGTGTGGTGCGCAGTTATACGTGCGCGATCAACATAAGCTATGGAGGCAAGCAGGCGTAGGAGCAGAAGAGATCAGCACCGGCAGCAGCTCGAGTTCGGGGTGGAATCCTTCGATGGCAGCGGTTGAGCTGAATACAGCAACTGCCACCCAGCTTGTTTCAGAGTACATCATCGAAGGTCGACAACATTCGATAATCGATTTCAGTGATCATTTGGACGATATATCAAAGTAAGTTCACGGTCTTCCTTTGTCCATCTATCTACCGCAGTCTACCCTTTTTGTGTTTGTTTGTTTGTTTGCTTGTTTGTTTGTTTGTTTGATTGATTGATTGATTGACTGACAATGACAACTTCACACCATGTGTTTTGCTACTCTTCTTTCCTTGTTCCTGTCTCTATGTTGAGGATTGGAAAGAGGACCAGCACATTCTGTCTATTGTCAAGTGCAAGGACCTGTGATCGACCATGCTGAGAGGTCGACTTCAAAATGTTGTCAGATCTGTCAGATTCTGACAAGATAATCTATTCATGACATATATCCTGATGCGACCAACTCTGAATGAAGTTCATCCTCTCACGTGCCTGCTCAGCATTTTGCATTGTGAATGCACGTAAACGTTCCCGACGAACCATTCCTCAAGCGAGGCTTTGTGTATTCATCTGAACTGCGATGAGCGCTGATTCCAACCCCAATTGGACTGCGATGAGCGCTGATCCTCTATTGTGCTTGACCTTAGGAGTTTGAACCCAAGGTATGGTTGTTGCCCATATGCACGTGCGTGGATGAGGATCGGGTTGGCAGGTTGTCGACGCAGTTGTGCATACACACATTCCATAGCGTGCAAGTGAGGGGGGCCGTTATGGCACACGGGGATGCAGGCAGCTTGTGCTTTTAACCAGATCAACGTGACAAGTCTTGTACATGAGAGGCACAGCAGAATGGGAGCTGCAAGAAGAAATAAAAGAGAAACTACAAAAAAAAAAAAAAAAGAGGCAAAGTAAGGAAAGTGAAAAAAAGAAAAAGAGAGAACTGCACAATGAGGGCACGCTCACACTGCGGTAGCAAATCCGTATAAATTGCGAAAATGGGTTGGGCCGAATTGGGGTATTTGGGACGTTTCAGGTCACACCGCGTTCACACCGCGTTCCCATTTCGCTAAAGACACGGTCGCTACCGTGCCATCAGGGTGCTGCTGTTTGGGGTTTCCAGTCACACAGAAGTAACCCCAAATATAGAACGTACATGTTCTTTTTATATTTTATTTAATTCTGCCTTTTTCCCTTTTTCAATTGATACCCGGTGTAAATTGTCCTTTTCAACTTTGCATTCATTTACGGAAATTAAATCGAAAAAGAACAAGGATTTTGCGGTAATCTCTGGAGGTTACCGCAAATTCCTCAAACCCGCGGCCAGGCGGGCCGCTGACAAATGGGTTTGCGAATGGGGTGTTTGCGGTCGGAACCATTGTGTGTGACCAGCCGTGTGCACATTTTTTTGGGAGTTTTACGGTTTTGGTACCCAGTGTGAGCGTGCCCTGAAAAGGCAATAGAATGGTCTCGGTGTGCATCATGTTGTCTGCTGTAGAAAATATTTCTAAGGTAAACCTGTTTCAATTTTGGATCCCCTCATCTGCTCGGAAAGGGGTTGTTGCAGTGACAGTTTAGAACACACATACCTTTCTCGGCGTTTTGGCTTAGGTCAAGTGTAGTATCTGTTCATATCAGTTTAAAAAAAAAAAAAAAAAGACACCTTGTCATGCATGGATGTGCAGATGCAGACAAGGAGTCACATGCATATGCCGATGAAGATAGGTCGTCAAACGTAAAGCGCAGATGATGTTTAACACGCACAAGTGCAGATGAGGATAAGCTTGCACCACACGAAAGCACTCTGGATTCTGGAGAAGAGAAGAGATTGTCTCACCTGCACAGAGAAGCTATCAGGATAAGCTTGTCACACCCGCGTGCAGACGAGGATAAGGTTGTCACACAATTGTTTGCGGATAAGGTGTCACGCATTTGCAGATGAGGGTAAAGGGGTGGGGGCGTGAGCACGACATGTGCTCGATGTGCAGGGTTGGACGGACCATGCGATTTCCATCTAAAAGCGAGTGCACAAGATTTGATGTGTTGAACATGACTCCAAGGCAAAAGTTGCTTGTATTGTTGTTTTTGATGACATATTTTTTTTTTCCGATTTTTCTGAGACTTCTTCTTTTTTTTTTTAAATATTTTTTACGTTTGCGTTCGGAGGGTTTTGGGCGCTAGTTCGTGTTCGGGCGGGCATGTTCGGTCGGGTTCGCCTCCGAGCGCGAACACGATGCTACACAGCCTGGGACCTTCCCGGGTCCTTGCACGGCCGGCCCGCCTGGGAAAATAAGGTGACCCGGGCGGCCTGGCTGGTAGCCGCTCCTTTGTGAACTTCATCGATGATCTCCCCTTCTTCCTCCTCTTTACCTTCCTCCTCATCAATCGAGTCATCCTCTAATCACCGGTATGGGATACCGCAATGGCATTGGCATTTTCCTCTTCTCTTCCACCAGCTCCCAGACATCGACCTTGTCTCCCTGAGTGCAGTGTGAGGAGGAGGCACTATCGCCATTCTCAATACGCATTGGCCAGGAACAGCGCATACAGGGTCTGATGTCCACACTGCGACAGCATTTTCTATACTGCTGCTGATGTGCATCAGACAGAAGGACCCACAACCTGCACAGCACTCGCACGCCTTACGGCTGCTCTCTATCAATGTGCCTGACTGATCTGGGCTGAATCCCTCTTCCCGTCCACTTAGCTGACAGTGGCATTAAACACCCCCCTCCCCCACCC